ACGAGTGGGTCCTCTGACAGATCGGTGTACGCATATATGCCACTATATATATATGCTTGAATAATGGCTGAAACAACAGCTTTTCACCGGTCAGTTCGAAATCAGCACCATGGTGCGCTGTCTAAGACAGTTGAACCCAAAACTCAACCTTAGCAGACCGGTTGGCAAACACATGTACTTTCCCGTCAGTTTTGGCCGAACCTATGTACTTTTATAAACCGTCTCGGCTGGGTAGATAACTACATGCAGTAATGACGGTTTACCAGACACCACGGAGACACTAAACTATTAGCATATAAAGAAGGTGTTCGAGGGAGGAATTGTGAGCTCGAGTGCCGCTTACAAAACGAAAAGCAAATTCATGATAAAAGTGCAGTTCAAGGGACCGTCCCGGAAGAATAAAGATCAAAAGGAATTATACCTCTTCCTAGTGCACAACAAACGAAACGACAAAGAAAGCTCCCGTACGATCCAAGTCAGTAATTAGGCAAATCTTCATCGATATCACTCAAACACTAGTACTTGAAGCATTGTTCCTGGGTTCCAGGTCCCCTTGTCCCCTCCGAAGACATTACCGAAAAGTGCATTTTGGAAACCGAAATGATAAAACTACAGGGTCTCAGTCTACATATAAAGACAGAGCTTAGGATCTATAGTAGACTTCCTAGACTTCCATGAAGAGTCAACTAAAGCTATAAAATGTGTATTTGATTCGAAAAAAATTTTTCGGTGGGATTTTAATGTTGATTATCGTGTCAGGATCGCGGCATTTGAGTGAGCATCTTCCTGACCGCCCGCAAAATTATACGCTGTAGAAACGACTCCCTAAGTTGTGTGGCGTTCTTCCATATATTTTGGATGCCTTTATAACTTCAAATATATTTTACACAAAAAAACTCACACAATATTCTTCCGTGTACTCGTTTGGTAACCAGTGAGGTCTATTTTGAAGTTTATAGTTTTAGAACGGGTACTTTTCGGTGTTAAGAAATTGCAAATGTACCCAAAAGTTTGAACCCTACTGGTTGTTAAATTCGCATTCAAGGTCTCAAAGTAACATGCTGTGTGCACGTTTCCTCAGAAGACGCACAAATGGTCGAAATCATAAGGAAAGGCCCAGGCTACCTTCATTAAATATTGCAAAACATGTGGATCAAGTTGTTACATTTGTAAGTTTACGAATAAGATATACTATGAATAAATATCTCATAGTCTTCAAATATCTCATAATTGGAAACCAAAAAATATAATTTCTTAAAGTACAAATTCTGAAGTAGACGTAATATGCTAACAAACGCGTACAAATAAAGAAAACCTGTTGCACATCCTCTAGTACATATCATTGAAAATCAATGAGAAAAATGCATACTCGTCAAGTAACCATTTTTACGGAGTATGCCTTTTGCGGGCGATCAGATAGAAGTTCTTTCAAAATTGCGACTAACATATTTTAGGATGAGGCTGCAAGATAACCAATGTAACTAGCTTACTGAAGTAGATTGTTCGAATCTAAAACCCATTTTAGAATTTCGGTTGGGCATCGCACCCAACATACTTAATGAGCTCGCACCGTAATGCACCCTGAATAAACGAACCACCTTGAAATGCAAAGCTATGGACAGACAGAAAACTGGACTGTCTAAAAGAGTGTGAGTTGACGTCGGGGGTCCTAAAGGATAACCGTGGTGAGTGGTGACCCAGGAAGCTCAAATTTAAGTCCATATTACACCCTATTTTCTTGAATAACAGCGGTAGGATATATACTACGATTTCGTCCTGTTCGCTGACAACATACGGT